GGGGCGTGAGACCCAAGTCACAGCAGTGGCAGCAGCAATAAAGAGGAAGGAAGAGAAAATGGAAAAAAAATACCTTTCTGAGCAGAGAGATGGTCCAGGGTTACAGGCACTTGCAGGTTCAATCCCCAGACCCACATCTAAGTCCTTCAAGCCCTGCCAGGAGTGGTCCCTGAGCACATAGCCAAGAGTAAGCTCTGAGCACTGCTGCTGGTGTGACCCACAAACAAAAGAGCAAGAATAAAAGAGTTCTGAAAAATAAATATAACGGCTGAGTTAAAGAATCCAATAGGGCTTAACAGCAAACAAGAAGAAAGAGATGATAAGAGTTGATGAGTTGGAAGGCATGACCATGCAAAATACCCAAACAGAACAGCAAATGGAAAAAGAATTAAAACATAAAAAAAACATGTGAGAGTCCCATGGAATGGATTATCAGGAAGAACAATATCTGCTTTAGAGGGGATGAAGAAGGAGAAGAGAGAAATGGGTAGAATGAATAACAGCCGAGCACTTCTCAAAATTTGGGGGGAGGGGGAAGAAATTAAATTCCAAATAAATGAGGCACACAGAATCCCAAACAAAATAAAGTTTTACATTTTGGGATATAAACAGATACATCCCAAGACATAATATAGTGTTAAAAAGCAAAGTCAGGAATAGAAAACAAGTGTCATGAGAGAAAGAGAGAGGGGGCGAGCGTGCAAGAGTTAAGGTACTTGTCTGCAACAGAGAATCCGTGTTCAGCCCTAGAGCCCCTGACACCACGGGGAGCTCTGTTGGGTTCCCCAGAACCGCAGGGCCTGGGCAGCACCACATCCTCTGGCCCTCGCTTAGTGCCACTGGCCAAGTAGTTCAATCCCAAGGAATTGTGGGAAGGGCTCTTGGGGGCACTTGTGAGACCCTCACCCCTGTCAAAAAGAACAGACCATATCTAGGAAAAACCCAATGATATGTAGGATGCTCCTATTTCCTTACACCTCTGGGGGTGCCAGGGTCAGCTCAGTGGTTTAGCGCTTCGGCCTCCTGAGTAGAAGCCCTGACATCCCTGGTGGAGTTGCTCAGGCCGAGTGAGCTTGAAAGTGCTCCTGGAGCCATGGATCATTCCTGGCCATTCCGCAGGCAGGTGTGTGCAAGCATTGCATGCACACAAGGAGGGATTTGTAAGCACCATGGAGGCGTGGGGACCCCCTCACACCATGAGCAGATGTGGGAGTCCCATCACCACACCAAAGCTGAATTTTGGAGCCCCACGACCAGTTGTTGGGTGACCCTAGTCATTGCAACATCCACAGTGGGAAGGGAAAGTGGGATCAAAGAGTTTCTGGGAACTTTTCAACAGAAAACATGCAAGCAAAACAGAAAACATTCAAAGTTTGGAGAGAACAGGGTTTTCAGATGCTAGTTAAGGTAGAAGGAAGGAGTTTTACAGAAGAAATATAAATTAAAGTGACTCATTACCACAAAGAGGATTTGCAAGAAATATCAAAGGGATATTTAGAAAATGAAAAGCAATCTTGCCAAGAATTAGTAAGACATAAAATTACATAATGGCGAGGCAGTGGGAGAGGTGAAAATGTGGCCCATTGGGGCCGGAGCAATAGTACTAATGGGGAGGGCATTTGCCTTGCTCTAGGTTGGATACCCAGTATCCCATATGGTCCCCCCAAGCAATTCCAGGAGTAATTCCAAATGCAGAGCCAGGAGTAACCCCTGAACATCGCTAGGTGTGATTCAAAAAGCTCCCCTATGCACGCCCCCCACCCACTCCGCAAAGTGGCCCACTTAAATGAATGTAAGGTCAATCTACTTCATAGGGCCCAAGTTAAAAACTTACAACTTTAGGTAGGCCTTACAGAAAAGTCTCTGGGGAGTGCGTAGATAGCTCAAAGGACTGGGTACAGGCTCTGGGTGTCAAAGGACTCAAGACCATACAGTTATTGGGGAAACTAAACAGCTACATATAAAAGAGTAACTGATGATGGCTGTGTAAAAGATAAGAGTGTGGGGCTGGAGCAATAGTACAGCAGGTAGGGCACTTGCCTTGGATGTGGCTGATCCAACCAAGTTAGATTCCCAGCATCCCATATGGTCCCCTGAGTCCTCCAGGTATGATCCCTGAGCACAGAGCCAGGATAAAGCCCTGAAGATGGCCAAGTGTGGTCCAAAAACCAAGTAATAATATAAAATACAAAAGATAAAAATCTGCATTGGTAACAAAATGGAAGAAACTTGGATTGTGTGAAGCAATGCAATGTGGCTAGTAAAATATGTTACTGAATGACTTCACCCATGAATACAATACAGGGACATAAAATGAATGAATGTACAACGTTTTCTAAAAAATTAGTAGACACTGACAGAAGAACTAAGGTGACGTGAGGAGAAGTCGGGTCTGAGAAGCAAGGTTGGGTATGTCAAGGAAAGGTGGTGGGCTCACTAGGGTGAAAGCAGACAGTATGGAGTGTGTATGACTGGGGTCCAAGCACTGGAGTACTGAGCCCTGAGGACTCCTGGGTGCAGACCAAAACCAAAATAGAAACCAACCCTAAAGAATGCACAAAAGAGTTTTTACGAAAAAACAAATTTTGAATAAGTTTGCAAAGTACATTACAGCATGTTTAGGAGAACCGAATTTTCCATATATATATATATATATATATGCTTCCCTATTAAACCTGTATCAGCTAACAATCTTGACAAACATTTTTCTAAATATTGTTGAATATTACTTAGATACAAACTTCAAATCGAATATGCAATTGCCAGCATTCAATGGAGTTGAGGATGGAAGAGAGACTATTCAGGGCTATTGCCAACATATTATACAGTAATCTTGTAAAATACATACAACGGAATCAGTTGCAAAGAATAAAACTAAAAAGCTCTCTAATTATCTAGTACAGTCACACTTTTGTATCAAAGAATATAAACTGCTTAGAGAGCCTTTAAATATATATGTGTGTGTGAACATATAAAAGGCTTGCTAAGCAATATATAAAAAGCTATATATATATATATATATATATATATATATAAAGTAACCGCTTTAAGTTAGCAGAATTTTATATATTAAGTCACAACTTAGATGTCAAAGGCAAGCCTTCTCTGGTCACTAGCTACAAAGAAGATAAACAAGCACAGATTTCTGGGTTTGAATTCCTAGGCCTTTCATAAACAAACTCTCACATGCTTACATCTACTGAAATTATAAGGTGCATTTGAGGTATTTAAACACCAAGGCATGAGCCCACAAAATGGAGTGAAACGTCTCCACAGAAACTGAACTGTGAAGAAGTGGTCTGAAGTGTGTGTGTGTGTGTGTGGGGGGGGGCACTACTTGGAGTAGGTTGCAAAAGAATGAAATGTTTAGTTTATTCAAAGTTGCTAGATAAATAATTTTCTTTCTTTGTGGTATAAATCTTTCACTTCAGACAGAATTTCATTATGCAAGATAGTCTGTGCATCAAAATACGAGCTAGAGAAAACTCAACCTAACACACAACTACAAATTTCAAAAAGTGATTTATTATGGGAGGAAATCGGGGGCGGGGGGCGGAATGTATAAAGAGAAGAAGCAACAGGTAAGCAAATCTAGATGTAGAGAGAACGCCAAGTTCTTCGTCAAACTACGGGTTAACTCTCTTCTAGAGTTCAAAGAAAATAAGTGCTTAGCATTCTTCCACAAAGTAAAATCTCATTTGTGCAGAAATGTAACAAACACACAAACAAAAATCCCAGAAAGTTTTGTTGTAAGTGCTGCTTGGGTTCCAGATTTCTTTCTTTGAGCACGAGGGTATGTGAGTTGCGTGGAAGAGCCCACAGCCTCCCAGTTCTGCAGAGGTCTCTGTAGGTGCTGACCCAGGCTTGGGGCAACTCAGGACTTTCGTGACCTCCACGCAAGCCACACTGTGAACCTGTAGAATTGCTACAAGATGCTGTCCCTCATGGAGATGCTTCTTCACTGGAACCTGAAGGGGCACAGATTTTTTTGGTCCCTTTTTGAAATTATGAATTTTTATGGGGGAAGAAACCCTACAGGCCATCTGGGCCCAACGCTGTCTCTCTGCAAAGGAAGGCTCTGAGGTTCGGAAAAATTTAGGGACTTATGTTGACTGGGCTGGCTAGAAGTAGGGCTTGCAACCAGGACTCCAGTTCCAATCCAGTTCCAAACACATGTTCTCCATCTCTTCTGTCTCATTGCAGTTGCCTATAGTCTGGCCAAGCATGGTCTGAGGTGGTCTGAGGTACGTGTGTGTGTGGGCACGACTTGGAGTAGGTTGCAAAAGAATAAAATGCTAGACATGGACCTTCCTTCAACTATGAAAAATTGGTCGTCTATTCTTCCTCCTCAAAACCTGTTTTTTTTTAATAGATTGCCTGCATTGCCCCCCCCTCCCTCTCATTCCCTTGCTTTCCTAGGGGCCTCACTTTCTCCAGTCACAAGAAAACTACCAGGAATAGCCTTTCTTAAAAAGAGCTCCTAATTATCAGTGATCTACAACATTTCCATAGATTTAACTTATGCATATAAAATTGTGTTGTTTGCCATGGTTTTGAAAAACTGCAGTCAGTGGCTTAATTGTAATAAATGTTTTCCTTTGGGGTGTGGCACACCCAAGTGTGCTCAGGGTTTATTTCTGGTTCTACGCTCAGGGGTCATTGACCTCGTGCCAGGCAATGCCCTACTCACTGTATTATCACTCCAGCACCTAAACGTTTTTTTTAAATAAACATTATGGTTTTTAGTCCCTAACCTTGAAGAATGCCAGCAACAACAGTTATTTGTTCTACTGAAATAGTTTGAGAAAAAAAGAAATGTTTAATGAATGACTGGGTAAAATAAACATGTCCAGGTAAATAATCTTTATTATATACATTAACCTCTTCAATTAGCATACTTTAACTTCATAAAAAAAGTTATTTTCTTCAGAGTACAACAAAATAAGAAATTTAGTAATACTTTTTTTTTTTAGCTTAACCATATATTTAGAAAATCTCACCTCCAATTCCTCAGCCTGTTCTGCGTTATCTTCTTCTGAGCCACTGGTTTTAGGCAAATAGGTCATTTTTAATCTCAGATAACCTTTTACTCTTGATTTATGACTGTAGAAAAGAAAAAAGTCATTCACAGAACTTTAACACTAGGAAAAAAAGCATTTTCTGAATATGAATTTATTAAGCACCTATTAGATACTACCAGAACTCAAAGACAAGATCCAGAGCACAAGATACCTAGGAAAAGGAATAGATGGTGAAGAAAGAGGACATGCATACACAAATCTTTGTTAGAAGGCAATGATATCTATGAACATTTGAGTGAAAGATAGGGGAAATCTGAAAACGAAGATGGTGTTTGAGATGGGGCTAGGAGATTTTGATCAGGCGGATTTTTGATCTGGAAATCAGAGAGAAATCTGGGAACAGTGTATAAAAGGGCAGAGGCTGAGTTTGGCTGGATTACAGGAGACGTAGAGAAGATGGAGATGATCCAGATGAATGTTTGAAGAAACACGGGAATTTAGACTGTATTTTGTATTCACTGTGAAGCCAGAGAACTTGGGGCTAGAAAAATTGCAGCTTCAGAGATGTGCTTTGAGGAAGTGTCTTGCTATGTGACACAGCATAGTGGGAAAGAGGAGCGTGAGGTTTCTACATTCTCTTTGCCAACTGTTTCATCTGACACGTGTTAAGTTTACCTGATTGATTTTCATATTGTGTCACCTCTTTAAGTGATGAGTTGTCTAAGATAACGCTTGTTTCTTACTATCTTAATGTTGAATGATTTTAAACCTGTCTTTCTTGAGTCTCTAACTGGATTCTAAGGCCCCCACGAATTCTAGCATCCCTTACTTGTTCTAGTTATGTTATAGAGTTTTCTAGATATCAGTTATGTACCCAAGCACACTGTCTTTCTGGACAAAAGGGTGTTGATCCTTTTATTCCATCTTCAGGACACATTCTCCCACTTGATACCTCCCATAATTATTTTAGCTGTTCTTCTCAGTACAGTTCTCATGAAATTTGAAAAGCGCATCCTTTTTGAGCGGTCAATAAAATCCTTGATGCTAATTTATCAGACCACTAAAGTGGCTCGTGTGTTCATATGTGAGAGGTTGTGAAGATATTAAGTAACGTGTGCTCTAAAAGATGAATATGCAAAACTTGCTCAGATGCCTTTTTTTTTTCTTTTTGGGTCAGACCCGGTGATGCACAGGGGTTACTCCTGGATCTGCACTCAGGAATTGCCCCTGGCGGTGCTCAGGAGACCATATGGGATGCTGGTAATCGAACCCGGGTCGGCCGCATGCAAGGCAAATGCCCTACCCGCTGTGCTATTGCTCCAGCCCCTCAGATGCCATTTTAAAGAAGAGTTTCATTACCATAAATGTATTTCATGTCTTTTCAACTCGGTATTAATCTCAGAGGCTTGGACTTAGGTTCAGATCTAAAAACTTTAGCAGAAATTCAATATATAACTACTTTGATAGCAAGTAAATATTCACACAGTATAGAGTGCTATTCCTTTTATTTTGTTTTAACATTTATATTACACGTAGTAAATAAAAATTCTGAAATAAAAAATGTAGCAAGTTCCCATGGATATTTTAAATGCATCTGAAATATGCATATGCAGAATGCATTTTTTAGTTCTAAAAGCAAGACCAATAACATTGTTTTCCCAGAGGTCCTTTCTCACTTTCGCTCTGACCTTTCTGACAGAAAATCTGCATTAATGACCTGACTAGAACCCATTTGACTATGAGGCACGGAAGAACAAAAGGAGCTTTATTTATAGCTTAAGCATAAAAATTTTGAGAGGTATCAAGTAACTCAGTTTTGGAAAGCAGAATTATGAATGTGTCTCTTATTTTTAAATTCCAGTCTTTGACATCTTCCTCTAAATATTTGACTTTTTAGAAATACCTTTATTTTTCCTAATGCATATAAAATATAGTTAGGTTTTCTGGAACTGGTTTTCAGATGAATTGATGCTTGTACTGGACAAAAAGTCTAGTACTGCAAAACTGTATGTAGCTTAAGATAAGTATATGAAATAAGTGTTATATAAAGACAAATTTTATTTTTATCAAGTTTCATGGGCTGGAGCGATAGCACAGCAGGTAGGGTGTTTGCCTTGTGTGCAGCAGGCCCAGCCGAGCCGGGTTCGATTCCTCTGCCCCTCTCAGAGAGCCCGGCAAGCTACCGAGAGTATCTCGCCCACACGGCAAAGCCTGGCAAGCTACCTGTGACGTATTCAATCTGCCAAACACAGTAACAGCAAATCTCAAGATGGAGACATTACTGGCCCTGCTTGAGCAAATTGATGAACAACAGGAGGACAGGGACAGTGACACTGATCAAATTCCATAAATATTAAAGAATAAACTCTTACAGAAGTGATGTGATGACTTTTGTTTAGTTTTGGATTTTTTTGTAGTGTGCACATATACTACTTTTTGATCAGAAATAGCAATGTCTTTAAAATCACAAATCACAAATCATCCTGTTAATCGTTGATTGCCTCGAGCAGGCCCCAGTAACGTCTCCTTCATCCTAGCCCTGAGATTATATTCAAGGCTCTTTAGGAGAATGAGACCCATCATTGCTACTGGGTACGACACAGGGAGTTTGCCAGACTCTGCTGTTATTGTTTTTAAAATAACATGGCATTTAGAAATAGTTTAGTTACAAAGGCTTGCTAAGAGTCTTCTATATAAGGTATAATCAAATCTTAAAAACTTAATATATTTTTACTTTATATTTACTGACCTTCTTGGATGAAGAACAAAATCCTTAAATGTATACGGTCTCTCCATTCTTGGATTTTCTGTCTAGAATAAAAGAACAAGTTTTTAAGATATATCTGTAACCACCCCCTTACAAAAAAAATAGGAATATTTATGAACTATGAGCTATGAAATGTAACCTAAGACATAAAGAGGTTAGAGGTGAGGGAAGAATATAGCTTAACTTATTAAATGGTTACGCCTTCAAGAACGTCGAAGAAATAGCTAAGAGGACGAAGAACCTCCGGCTCCGGGCACATCTCTTTGATTCCACTGTTCTTCCTGCATTAACATATGCCTCAGAGACCTGGGCCCTACGCAAACAAGATGAGAACGCCATTCAGGTCTCCCAAAGAAGAATAGAAAGAGCTATGCTTGGAATATCACGTTTCACTCAAATGAGAGAACGAATCCGGAGTTCTGACATCCGTCGACGATCAAGGATCAGGGATGCTGTCTCATATGCCAAGGTGTCGAAAATCAGATGGGCTGGTCACGTAATGAGATTTAAAGACGACCGTTGGACTAGAGCTGTTACTGATTGGATTCCACGGGATGTCAAGAGACCGCGTGGCCGCCCACCTACCAGATGGTCAGACTTCTTTGTCAAGATCATGAATGATCGGTTTGAGGCCCTCCATGTTCCCGGAGCGAAGAGATGCCATTGGGCTACACTAGCACGCGACAGGGACAAATGGAGACGTTACTGGCGCCCGCTCGAGCAAATCGACGACTAACGGGAAGTTAAGTGATTAAGTGATTAAGTGATTAAATGGTTGCAAATGGTAATTTTTCACTTGGAACTTTCACTTTCTGCACCATAGGATTACAGCTGGCACCAAAACTGTTTAAACTAGTGGAGCCAGTGTATTATGCAGTCTAAAGGAGGGGACGATGGCAAAACAGACCAGAATACTGACTCTGGGGCACACAGAAGGAAGGTGGAATGTGTGCATTATTGGCAATTGGGCTTGGGTATAACACAGGGACAATTTCAGGAGAACAAAACAGTAAAACAGTCAGAAAAGTGTGATAGGATTCATCTATGGGGCTGGGGAGACAGTCAGTGCGTAGGGTGCTTGTCTTGCTGTGGCCGACCAGGGTTAGACCCTCAGCATCCCATCTGGTCCCCTGAGCAAAGCCAGGAATGATCCCTGAGTGAAGACCCAGGAGTCAGCCCTGGAAACTGCTGCGTGTGACCCCCAAGCAAACCCCCCAAAACTTTTTATGTAAATACTCCAGAGCCATAAATATTTCAAGGATCTAAGAGGGGGAAAGAAGTATTTTTTCTCTTTCTTATCACATTCGGTCGTCTCTTTTTAAAAATTAGTTTCCTTCTCTGTTGTGTTTTGCATTAACAGTTCATTCTATCTTACAACTCTTTCCTTACATTCTCCGTATACAATCTTACAACTCTTTCCTTACATTCTTCGTATACAGCTTCTTCATCTGGTTCTTGTAGGCTGTCTTCTCTTTCTCTTTGGACAGAGCCACCCAGAGGAAGGGTCATGGCTTGGCCTGGAGCTCTCTCCTCTCTCTGACTGGGACAGCCCACAATTCTCAAAGCTTCGGCTGCCACCAGAACAATGATCACACTCGCACCACCCAGTACTTCTTCTGTACACAATTAACTTTCCTGTTTTTTTTTTCAGCCAGGCTGGAGCCATAGCACAGCCGGTAGGGCATTCACCTTACATGCGGCCGACCTGGGTTCGATTCCTCTGTCCCTCTTGGAGAGCCCAGCAAGCTACCAAGAGTATCCCGCCCACAGGTCAGAGACTAGCAAGCTCCCTGTGGCGTATTCGACATGCCAAAAACAGTAACAAGTCTCACAATGGAAACGTTACTGGTGCCCGCTCGAGCAAACCGATGAGCACCAGGAGGACAGTGCTACAGTGCTATCTTTTTCAGGTGGCCACTTTACATTTTCATTTGTTTTGTTTTTCTATTGAAATCCAGTAAGGAAAAACTTAAATGTATTTTATTTCAAAACCTACAGCTTTTCATGCAAACTCATCTACTCCAACCATAAATTTTATCTCCCAAATTCAGTTTGCATTATCTCTACTTTTTGCTTATTTTTTTTTCGACCTCCACATCAGAACTATGATCCAATAGTGTTTTATTACTAAATATTTCTTGAATTTCTCTTTTCCTCCATTACAATCTGCTGAGTTCAGATTAGATTTCATGCCTCTATTGTCATGATCTACTTCAGTTTCGTCCTGTGAGCCTGGGCTTTCCCCACACTGGTTATTCTGCAGAATATTTCCAATCTAATCTTGAAGCAATGCTCTCATAATAGTACTGTCCTCCCATTGTTCATCGATTTGCTCGAGCAGGCCCAGTAACGTCTCCATCGAGAGACTTGTTGTTACTGCGTTTGACATATTTAATAAGTCACGGGGAGCTTGCTAGGCTTTGCTGTGCGGGTGAGATACTCTGGGTAGCTTGCTGGGCTCTCCAAGAGGGGCAGAGGAATCGAACTTGGGTTGACTGAGTGCAAGGTAAATGCCCTACCCCCTGTGCTATCTGGCTGCAACACCTGTTACCCCAATGACCGCCAAGGTTGATTCAGCTGATCTGGCTGCCCAGGCGGGTGTCCCCTTCCTCCCTCACCTCTTCATGTGCATCCCTCCCGAAGCTGCATGCTCATTTGAAGAGGACGGCCTTCCCTGAATAGAGATGGACTGGTCTTCAGTCGAGGGTATAGGAGTGGCTGCGCTCCCCTGCTAGAACCTCCAAACAAGCTCTCATAATATCAAAAAAAATTTCATTGGCTCTATCTTTTACTGGGGCTCATGTACAGAAATTAAAATGAAAAATCAGAAAATAAATAGTAACATGCTCAATAAACAATAGTATTTTCAATATTATTATACTAACAATGTTACCTATTTATGAAATAAAAATGAATAAATAAACCAAAAAAGAAAATCATAAACATCAATACCAACCGGTAAGGGGTAAAGAGGCACATCCACTTGACCTAGGAAATCATCTCTTGTCTACAGGAGAGAAAAGAAAACAACAAGGTTAGTAATAGGCTCCTCTATTTTAGAAGATTTTTATGAGCTTCTGCTATTATTACGGAAACAGCACAGCATTTTGGGGTTTCTTCCTCTGCAAACCAAGGGGAAATTTAAGGTAATTTGGCGTAACTTCTAGTACACTATTCTACTGGAGAGGGTATTAAATGAATCCTCTTTTCAGACAGCACAGCGGTAGGGCGTTTGCGTTGCACGTGGCTGACCTCGCCAACCCAGGTTCAATGCCGGAGATCCAGGCAAACTACCGAGAGTATCCTGCTCACTCGGCAAAGCCTGGCAATCTCCCTGTGGCGTATTTAACATGCTAAAAATAGTAACAGTGCTAAAAACAGTAACAAGTCTCACAATGGAGACGTTACTGGGCCCACACGAGCAAATCGATGAACAATGGGAGGACAGTGACGGTGACAGTGACAGTGTTCTGAATGAAGGAACTGCAATGGGTAGGATTCATATTTACATGCCTTATCACCTCATAGTCCTCCACAGCTCCTGAGTGGTGTGATTAGAACTAAGTCAGCAATCTTAAATCTTCCTCATTTGAGGAGTCAAAAGATCTAATTCAAGGCTAAGAGCATAACTGGCAATTGAGGGCAACACCACAAATAGGAGGAAGCCCTAGAGTCTCTCCAAATCTCTAATATAAACTCGACCCAGATACCCAATGTATTTGTCTTTTCAAATTAATTTCTTGGTAGATACCTAGAAATGGGATACCTGGGTTGACTGGGAGGCCCATTGTTACTTACTGAGAAATCTCCATATCGTTTGCCATAGAGGCTAGACCAGGTGACAGAACCACCTGAAGTGAATGACGGTTTCTCATTCTCACGGGTGAGAACTGATACCTTGCTGTGGTTTTGATTTGTGTTCCCTGATAGTGACACTGAGCACCTTTTCCATATACTTATTGGTCATCTACTGTAGGATAACATTGATCTGTCCTTCCTACACAGCTTCAGGTAGTTTAGGTTTATTGGGTTGCTCCTAACACAGTGCTCCCATTCCTCTGCCTCTGCGTTTATTTGTAACTTCTTTCTTTGTGCACTGTTGACTTGTAAATATTGTTTTTCTCTTGTCCTTCAGTCCTTTGCATAGTTCGTTCAGAGCAATGTCCTTTTTGTATGGACAGAAGACCATAAAGGCTATGCTTTTGTAACATGGGAGTTTATTGACTCTCAGTGATATTTCCCTCTTGGGCATCTGTTCTCCCGACCTAAGCCTCAGCTGTCCTCACTTTCTAGCACCCCCAAGAGCAGGGTCCCGACGAGGGATTGGATGGACCCAGGGCAAGCAGTGAGCTATGGCTACCCTGGCATCGAGATGGGCCTGGCCAAAGTGCCTAATGCTTAACTATAATTTAAGAGTGTGGTCATGGACAAATGCTGCGATAATCCAGAAAGTATTAACTAAATTCAGACCCTGCTAGGGCTAGGAATGATTAATCTGGCCTGAGCACTGTAGTCTGAGTCTGTGGCAAGATGTTTCCAGGAGAGCTGGCCTACAAGCCTCTCTCACTGTGTCCATACAAAAATAACTAGTATTAAGATGTTGATAGAGTTATTGGAAAGGAGAAAAACACCTTAGGAGGTCAGGAAGGGCTTTGGAATACCTCTAGGTGGTGTTTCCATTGAACCTAGTGGGCCCTCAGGAAGGGCTTTCTTATGTTGATTTTGCTGCCCTGACTGGGTGCAGTGTCAAGCCAAGAGTGCTGGGGGGTTAGAGAGCTGGAGGGAGATGAGAGAAAGCGCAGAGCGGCAAGAGGGAGTGTGGAGAGACTAGCAAGGGGGACACAGAGAGAAGAATATAGAAGAATACAGAAGCAGGCGCGTGGAGAGAGACCAGGCTGCGAGATGGAGCGCGGAGAGATGAGAGGGAGAGATAGGAGGAGACGGGAATGCGTGGCAGTGAGAGACTAGAACGGGGGCCTCAGAGAGACTGGAAAAGGCACGTGGGGAGAACAGAATAAACGGCATCTGATTAACCAGAATAAACGGCATCTGATTAACCAACCGGCTTGGCCCTCATTTCCTCCTCCTTCTGCTCCACGGCCTGGGTTGCCCCTGGTGCGGGAGCGGCCCAGGCCCACCCTGAACGTGGGCGGCTAGGGGGTGAACTGCCGGGGCCTCCCCCCGCCGCCCCCAGAGAGTTTATACAATCCATATGTCTTCTTTATGGAATATTGAAACAACCTAATGTCCAATAACAGATGAATGGAAAAGAAGTTGTGGTATATCTGCACAATGTAAATCTAAGCAGGCAAAAGAAAAAATTGTCATGCAATTTGTGGCAACTTGGATGGAATTGGAGGGAATCATGCTGAGTTAAACAAGCCAGATGCAGAAGGACAGATATGGGATTATCTCATTCATCTGTGGAATATAGAGAAAAAATAAGAGAGAGATTTACAGGCCAAGATCCTCAACAAAATTTTAACAAACAGAATCCAACAACTCATCAAAAAGATCATATACCATAACCAAGTAGGATTTATCTTGGGGATGCAAGGATGGTTTAACACTCTCAAGTCAATCAACATACACCATATCATCAACAAAAGAAAAAACACCATATCAACAAAAGAAAATGATCATATCAAGAGATGCAGAGAAAACATTTGACAAGGTCCAGCACACATTCATGATTAAAAACTCACCAAAATGGGAGTTGAAGGAACTTTTCTCAATGTAGTCAGAAACCATCTACCACAACCCCACAGCAAGCATTATCCTCAGTGGGGAAAACTAAAGGTGTTCTTCCTAAAATCAGACACAAAACGCGACTGTCCATGCTTGCCACTCCTATTCTATATAGTACTAAAAATTTTTTTCGTAGCAGTTAGGCAAGAAAAACATATCAAGGGCATCTAGATAAGAAAGGGAAGAAGTCAAGCTTTCACTATTTGCTAATGATACGAAATTATACTTAGAAAATTCTAAAAATCCTACAAAAAATCTCCTAGAAGCAATAGACTTGTACAGTAAAGTGGCAGGTTACAAAAATCATACCCCAAGGTTCGTGGCTTTCCTATATACAAATAATGAAAGAGAAAAAAGAAATTTATTTAAAAAAAAAGCCTAAACCTCAAACATCCCCTTCACAATTGTGCCTCAGAAAATCAAGGGCCTTAAAATCAACTTAACTAAAGAGGTGAAGGACTTGTATAAAGAAAACCACAAAACATTACTTCAAGAAATAAAAGAAAGAGCTTACGAGCATATGTAGACACATCCTCTGCTCATGGACTGGAAGGATTAACACTGTCAAAAAGGCAGTACTCCCCAAAGCATTATACAAAAAGGTAAAGGTAAAGGCCCTCCCGTTGTTCATCAATTTGCTCGAGCGGACCCAGTAACGTCTCCATTGGAGACTTTGTTGTTACTCTGTTTGGCATATCGAATACGTCACGGGGAGCTTGCCAGGCTCTGCCGTGCGGGTGAGATACTCTCGGTAGCTTGCTGGGCTCTCAGAGAGGGGCAGAGGAATCGAACTCGGGTTGGCCATGTTGGCTGCGTGCAAGGCAAACGCCCTACCGCTGTGTTATCGCTCCAGCATTATACAGCATTATACAGATTCAGTGAAATCCCTATAAGGATACCCATGACATTTTTCAAAGAAATAGACAAAAAACTCCTGAAGTTCATATGAAACAATACATAATAGCTAAAACAATCCTTGGGAAAAAGAATATGTGAGGCATCACCTTCCCTGACTTCAAACGGTACTACAAAATGGCAGTAATTAAAACAGCATGGTTTGTATGACTGAAACGTAAGCATGAAAGTTTGTAAGTTTGTAACTGTACCTCGGGGTGATTCATTAATAATAAATGAATAAATAAATAAATAAAACATGTTATTAAAGACAGACCCACAAACCAGTGAAGTAGAGTTGAATAGCCTGACACAGAACCTCAAATATATGATGATTTAATCTTTGATAAAGGAGCAAAAGAGCTGAAGTAGAGTAAGGAAAGCCTCTTCAACAAGTTGTGGTGGGAAAACTTGGGAGCAAAATGCAGAAAAACATGAACTCAGACCTCTTTCTAACCTCTATCTCTTTTCTTAATCTTTGCAGTCCTATTGCTTCAGGTCTGTTCACCCAGGGGTCAGTCCCTAGCTCTAGACCATGCCTCAATGTATGAGACAGTGCCCACAGAAACAACAATGATTATTCGGCTCAAACTGTCAATAGTGGCCAAGCTGAGAAACCCTCCTCTGTACCTGTTTCACTTATGGACTGCTGAACATAGCCATATTTTTCTTTTTTAAAAAATTAATTTTATTGAATCACCGTGAGATAGTTACAAGCTTTCATGTTTGGGTTACAATCACACAATAATCAAACACCCATCCCTCCACCAGTGCACATCCCCCCCACCAATATCTCCGGTAAACCCCCCCCCCCACTCTTCCCACCCTCCTCTGCCTCCTTGACAGCCATATTTTTCAGGCATTGCAAGCTCATGAATGATCAAACACTCATTGTATTCATCTCATGGCAGTGCATTTAGCTTATAAAGTTGGGCTATTCAATAAAACCAAACCATAAAAATAGGTTTTCTTCCTTTATCTGGGTAAACCTAAACCTAAATGAGTTAACTCAACAATCCAAAATATATTTGGGGTTGGAATTGTGTTGGGCCACACGTAGGGCTTATTTCTGGCTCAGAGCTCATGAATGACACTGTTTTTTGAGGCTCGTCTACTGTTTCACTCCTGGGGGGCTTAAGGGACCATAGTAGTAGGAGGGATGGAACCTGAGTTGGCCACTTGCCCTGTACAATCTCTCCTGACTGACTCAAAGAATTGTATTCCTTAATTATCCTGGCTGAAATTTTACCAGGTTTTGTATTTTGCTTTGAAAAGTCATATTTTATGAAATATAACATCCAGTTGTGACAAAACAGGAATAGCATAACAAGAATAAGGAAACATACTATCCTCTAGCCTTCAAGG